CCAGTGTTTTCACGTATTATTTCTTCTGTGATTTTTTTGGCTTGGCCGATTTCGCTCAAACATGGTCACACCTTCACCCTAGTTATTAGGAAAAATCTGCAGAAAAATGTTGGTCCAGGGTTGCCATATCAAAAGTCAAAAAAATGATTTTTGGATAGCTTCGAGCTAAATGTATCTCCTACAAATTTAGGATACAACACCTCAGACATAGCTCATTGTATTCGGCTTGAATGTGGGCACAAAGTTACTATTTGAATTTTTGATATCTTTTTTCGGCAATGAGAAAGTTGACCCCAAATTTAGAGTAACTGTTCATGTTCACTAGGTATGGCTTTTTAACAACTAAGTAACTTTGTGTTTTTATTTTGGCTTGGCTGATTTTGTTCATACTTGACAGGTAGGTCGTTCCATCACTAGTTGGAAAAACAATCCTTACCCACCGCTCCAAATGTATTACCTCCTACCAATCTTGTAATAGCAGTGTTCAAATGATCATGCCTTTCATTTTGGCTACGTTGCACACTGGTAAGATATCACCGGCGCCGACATTGTTACACTGAATCAACGTAATCCCAACGCAACTTTGAATGAAAAGTAAATGCTGCCTCCAATCTAGAAAATACTATCGCAAAACGATTGGAAATAATACATTTAACGGCAGAATACGTCCAAGCAATAAAATAAAGTGACTGAATGTTATTTTGCGAACTTCGTATAAGGTGCCCCTTTTTAGTTATAAATCGACGTTAGCTTCACGTTCATGTCCTGCCATGGTAACAGCCAAGAACATGTTGCTTGTTTTTTAGCAGAGCGGACCGCCAACCAGCCTACCGGCTTGTTTTCATTGGCAACCGAACAAATTTTCATCTGCTATTTTTATCCAGTTCAAATCGTTCAGCAACATTTTTGGCATATTAGATGTACACCACATGGAATACTACGATTGAGAGAACTTGATGTACCGGTATGTTGACTGAGCTTTATCGTAGACCATCAACATCAAAGTACCAGGAGGTTTCTGCTGGCAGCGTTGCCCAGTTCCAAATAAAGATTACCAACGCCAAATGAGCGACATTTTTACCGGAAATCAAGATTCGTTCAATCCACAAGCGAAGTTGTAGCTAGCGTGCAGCTCATCAATGACCGCTGTCGACGAAAGTCATTCCGTCAGTGGAGTACCGCAGTTGTGACGGCATGTTTGCCAATGTACAATTCTGTGGAGGAACTTTTAACTTAATTTAAACTACGTATGACTGATTCGAAACATTCCATTGAGATCGGACGGTGCCCTATCGTACCAATCCTTCACCATTGTATTCAAACGAACCACGTGGTGTGCTGTTATATTCTTCTTCAAACCCGGGATTCAACCATTAGGGGGGTTTTAATAAAAAAAAAATCGCAAATCATGCAAATTTAGCATTTTTAAACCAGTATACTAAAAAAGAAATGCCCAGCGATGCAAAAAAGAAATAGATATTACTTTTCAGTATACACATCTCTGTTTATACAATCCTTCACATATTCTACTCCCAATTATTCCTGCGTAAAATGGAATAGCCTCTTTCCATGTTGACATTCTGAGTAAAATCACATGATAGGCTGTTACAATTGGCTGTTACATGCTATTTCGCCGTGTTTAATGTGTTTAATTAGCTCTCATTCAAGCGACAATGCACATTTCCCAGTGGGAGTGAACCTAGCTCGAATCTGCCATTAAAAAATAGGGGTGTTTTCAGCAAAAAACAAATAACCCTTGAGTGCACACAAAACACTGAATTTCAATCTTGCATTAGTTACAGCAGCAGAATACCACAGAAATATCAGACGAAACATGAATACACTATATATTGTATTTTGGCCTGAACCCTCTCTATTGCAATTCCAAGGATTACCCCCATATATGCAACCATTTTCCACCTTGGTATCACCCAACCCTGAAAACAAATTCTTAATACCATGCTGAAGCGTTTGGTAATAAAAAAAATCTGCCCAGTATTTTATTTTCCCTATAAATAACTATTAATCAGGAACTTTTATACAGTCCATGTTACAGTATTTTAATACATTGAAATTAATACAGTGCATGTAGTATTATTTGGTGGAGAATGTAGTTTGTGAAATATATACAAGTTTTTTTTACCACTTGAAAATTGTAGAAATATGTCAACAACTAGCATCATACTTTATTTATCAATTATCAATGTACGCCTTGTTTTGTGGTTTGATTCAAAATAGCAATTTATTTTGTGTCATTATATACATATATATTTTTAGCTCCTGTGTACAAAGTACAAATAGTAGGTATTGTTGTACTGATGTCTATCTATTTGAATGTGTCTGTAATCAGAAATCTGAAATATAGCTTGATCAATCAATTCAGCAAGTACTGGGCTAAATAAGCTGCTCATTACATAATTTAATACACCTGCCATCAACATAAGGATATTGCACATGGTATTGTGATAATTAAGTAGGTAATTTGCATAATATGAGCTTTGAGTACTAGTAGTAAGACCAGATGCAAATCTAGTTAGCTAATTGAGGAGCTTAATTGACTAATTTTCTGTTTTTGACTCCTGTGTGCAAAGCACACAATGGCATTGAGTCTTTGCATTTACTGTGTTTATATGCATGTGGGGTTATGTTTGTGTATGTGTGTGCATCAGTCTGTTCCACTGAAATCTCAAGAACCATATGTTGGTTTTTAGTGAAACTTTGTACATACATGTAAATGCTCTGTGACAAAATTTTGGGTAAACATCCATGCATATTAATTACTTAATTTGCATAATATTAATCAAATTTTGGCTTTTCCATTTATATCTCAAGTACAAATCATCACATTACAATGAATTAAACTTGGTACATAGATGTAATAGGACAATGCACAGACATTAGTTAAATTTACATTAAAATCTATGCATATTGGTTACCTGATTTGCATACCCAGTAATTAGTAAATGTTTGGCTTTTCAGCTGATATTTCAAGTACTAATATTTCAATGAAACTTGGTACATAGATGCACAGACCTAATTAGTATTTGATTGAAATCTGTGCATTTTAATCAACTAATTTGCATAATAGTTTTCAGCTTTTTCATTAGTATCTCAAGTACTTTAAATGAATCTTGGTACATAAATGCTCTAAGATCTAATGTAATCTAATGTTTTGGGTTAATATACATTCATAATAATTAGCCAAATGTAAGCATTTTCACTTGTTTCTCATATACTATTCAACATATTTCAATGAAACTTGGTACATAAATGCCCTGGGATATTGCGCAGACCAGATAATTTTTGATTGAAATCCTGTGCATATTAATGACCTAATCTGCATATTAATTCATCAATTTTAAGCGTTTGTTTTTGAAGTACCATTCAACAGGTTTTAATGAGACGTCAAATCAGCATTGGCATTATTTCATTAAATATTTTTCTATAATTGTTAAACCATAGCCCTCTGTTGCATTGTCCCATTTTAATAGAAGCCATGGCTTCTAATACAGATTTTACAAAACATTAAATGAATTGTCATATCAAATTCTCTAATATATTATTGTTTTATACATTACAGAGGTGTGGGACGGAGAGCGGTTGAGGAAAAGAAAACCTTTGGTTCGAACAAAAAAGAAGCGAATGCAATATGTGATTCAGCCTGTTACACCACCTAAACCATCAAGCATTACTCCACCATTACCATCTACCACAGAATTATCCAAGGAGCAATCAAATCTTGTGCGTTTGTTGGAAAAAAGTTTTGTACAGTCAAAACAAGTTTACAAAGAACTAGCAGTAAGTAAATATATTTTTACACTGTAATGGCACTGTGTTTGTAGTGAGCAACACATCACAATATTTTATTTCTTGGCTGGTCTTCTGTCAGATTTGTTGATTTCATGGCTGATATAACTTTCCTTCTCTAAATTGTAGGTTTGACCACTGTCAGATTCCAGTTCTGATTCAAACTTACTGACTTTTTTAGTTTTGTTTACTGTACAAGAAGAATCTGTCATGACATGGCTGATCCTGTGTCTTAACGAATGCTGTTCTAGGTCCATTCCATTGATCAGTTTTTAGTAACCGTGCTTCAAGAACATGCATCAACAGATTTTATTAAATCTGTTTTGTTTGTGAATGATTCAAAAACATAACTGGCAGCCATTAAATGTTCTGTAGTCTGACATATACATGTACTGATTTACTTATACATACAAGATCAGTGATTCATAATAACTGACAAGCTCAAATTGTTAATATCACAGTTCTGCCATAATATGTTGGTTTCAA